TGCCTTTGTCTGCTTTTCAATAGCAGGCTTCTGGTTATATCACAGATGGCTCAAATGTATCTAAAAACCTAAACTACTTCCTTGCCTGTATAAACATCATCTGCAGATTCACTTCTAAAATAGAGAAAAATCTCAAAATGCAGAATAAAAATCAGTTCATTTTATATCTCAACATAATTTGGATATTAAGATCCAGAATTTTGCTCAAGGACTTCAGCAACAGTCTAAATACAGAGGGATTTTTTTTTTACTAGCATTTAGTTCCATGTCATGCCATTAGGGACATTCTCTGCAACAATTAAAAATTATATTGAAGAAAAAAGTATTTATTCAATACTAGTTGGTACAGACAGAAATCTTGGATACACCTGACTAATGAAACAGAGACAGAATGACAATTGATATTAACTAATGCACAGCTCCCTTCTCCCCTTCTACACGGTAAAAATCAAGATTTTTCAAAGCAGATACACAATGAAGTAATTTTCAAGTCTTGTGCCATGTCACTTGTATATTTTATATTAATTCTTCTCAGATGACATTAATATTAAAAATTCAACCAAATTAAATTAGCATTAATTTCCTAATTAAAACAATTTCCAAGATGAGCAATCTATCTTTAATATCACGCCTTTCTACAAAGCCAGGAAAATACTTACTATGCTGTTATTATTTATTGTGTCTAAAAAAATGTCCTAAGATTACACATTTTAAAGCATCAGCCTGATTTTAAATCTTTGAGGTCTTTTTTTAATAAATTCTAAACTTGTCAATCTTGTCAAGTCTTACCTTGCTTTTTTAATGGATAACTAAGTAATATGTCATCATTCAAAGTTCAAGAAAATTTCACAGGAAAGTGATTTCTAGCTTGTCAATGCAAGTTGCTATGGCAACAACCAAGATGACTACCAAGGCTCCAACCTTATTTGATGAATAAAATGGAAAAAATATTGTAAAATACTGTAAGAAAAAACTCTGTACTGTAAGTCTTCCTGAAAAAGAGTAACAAAAGGACTACCTCCTCTACACCGTTTAATGATATCTGGACTGGCAAAGAAGCTCTCAGTTTACCATAAAACGTTATGTCATTGTATTTTAGAAATGCTGAAACTCTTGCTTCTCTTGTGACTTTAGTATTCTTTGGCTTACAGACAGGTAAAAGACCGAAAATGAGCTTTTAGTATCTAAAGATAACAAGTGTTAACTTTGTGGAGCAGTAGCAGCAAACAGAACAGGACTATAAAATACAGTAAGGAAAAAGGTAGTGAAGAAAAACATGGATTCTACCATAACAGTCTAAAAATAGATTCACTTCAAATGAAGCTTGTACAGTTCAAAGCATCTACAGAACAAGCAGCTCCATCTAGAGGTTAAAAAGCAAGGGATGTTAAAACAGACTTACAGGTAAAAGGTATCGCTATTTAAAAATACCCTCTAAAATGGCCTGCAAGATCTCCCAATTAAAATTAAAAATGAGGTTAATAATACATTTTCACAGTAAAGTCACCTGATCATTGGGAATCTGAAATTGTTTCACTACAAACAAACTGAAGACAAATCTTGAAAACACCTAAAAATCAATAATTGCTCATTCATATCTTAAGCTTCCTGCATTCCAGTGAAATTCACACTGCAATTACAGCACCAGAGCAGTCAGTCAATTTTAATAGTTTTCTGTGTAATCAAGATTGCACCACCATCACTAAATGTAAATCAAATGAGTCAGCCTAATAGCATCACTTGAGCAAAAGTTACACGCATATTCAACACTAAGCAAACGGTCCAATCAAGAATGAAAACTTCTTGCATGTGTAACAGTTTTCAGGCCCCAACCCTTCATACTTACCTACCAGTTTCCACTTATTTCCACATATTACATGCTCCAGAGCAAACTCCATTTTGCATATCATCTTTCAAAGTAATTAATTTTATTTGTATTTTATGTCTGCAGGGAAACAATTACTTCCACGTTTCAGGACAAAACTCAGGCTTTATCACACTGCTTACAACTATGCCAGGCATAGGTAAAAGGCCAGTTCTTTTCCCTAGCAGGATGCATTAAAAAACCCCAATACATTACACAGCATTGTTTCTCAAGTCTGCACTGGATACTTCCTAGCTGTGCCTCACAATAGAAGTAGTGACATAAAACAGAATATAGAGGGTCAGAAAATCAGGAGCAAATGACTGCTGCTGGAAAACGGTTGGCTTAGATGCCTGCCTGCTCCAGAACAAAGGCACGCTTTGTTATTCACCCCATGCTTCTGGTTGAATTCCCTCATGGTGTTTTTCCCCTCATCTTTTACACTTTCCCTATCTTTATCTCCATCCCTCTTTTTCATCCTCCAATCTTGCTTTTTCTAGAGATGTACTTCCTTATGGCAACACACCTGTCTTTTTAGTATGTGGTCTCTATCTATTTTAGCACCATGAATACATAAACATTGTTTATGACAGACCAAAACACCCTTTCCACTTCTCCCTAAAAATACTAACATTAACAAATAAAATGACAAATCATTTTATTATCATTAAATACATGACTTTTAGAAGTGAAAGGGCTGTACCTCTGAAAATCAGGCTATTTTGTGCCTAAAGTTTAATTCTGAAACTTAGGCAAGACTGAAAATACTTGTTCAAAAGACACTGCACAAATTGTTCTTTAAAGATTTCTACAATTTAACACATTGCTGCAATATTGGAAATAGCATCAAACAGGAACCCTTCTTGAAATACCTTACAATGCTGATTCAGGTACTGTGTTGAAAAGTGTTCAGTTTGTTTAAGATACGAGATTTGCAAATTCTTAGGAAGTGTCACACATGTAGTCTCTTCTAAGTTCCAAATACCCAGCAAATACAAACCAGAGCCTGCATAGGAGGCTGGTGCCAGAATTTCCTCCTGGTTATATATCACAGTTGGAATACAAATGTACATTTAAGATTACTGGTTAATATGAATTTGCCATAGCAGAAGCAAGCCTCATTTTGGTTTTATTTAGTATAGCATTTTAACCCTTGAATCTAAAACACAGTATCATTAATTCCTAGGAAATACTATTTGAGCATTACAAAAAAAGTCATTAGCTCTGGAAAAAACTTTGAAAACTCAAACCTATTTTGATCTTCTACTAACATGTACTAGCAGAGAGAAATAAAGGCCATTCAAAATAGCTGTATACAATAGCTCTTTTCATGTGCAAGTTCATCAATTTAATGCCAAAAACAAACCACCTTTTTGATATATCGGATCCCACACAGGGAGCAAGGAAAAGGGAACTGTTTCTCTTTCAGCATCCTGCTCTAGAATCTCTAAATTAATGATCTGTATCTCAACGTGTACTTCAAAATCATACTTCAACTTCAGCACTGTGACATTATTTCCACATCAGAGGATAACAAGTATTTCCAGCTTGAAAAGAAGCAGCAGCAACTCAAAACAACATTTTATTTGCTCTGAATATCAAACAATGTACATCAAAAGTTCCCACATAAGGTTTTTTTGGTCACAATCCATCTTGCTTGACCCTACTTAAAACTGCATATGAAAAAAAACGTTAATTTCCTTTAGGAATAGTCTGTGTACCAATACATCTTTGAGAGTAAGACTAGTCTCATTAGTCTAATTTTGTAGCTCTATCATAAGACCCCACATTACACACAAATTTTGTGGTATTAGGGTAGGCACACTTTCCTTTAAATCCCATTGACATAGGTAATGGGTAAGGAAAAGCGGCAGATGATAACACTGCAGCAACATGAGTTCATGCAATTACAAGAAAGATCAGAAGCTAAGCTGTGCTTTCACTTACACAGGCTGAATGACAATAAATCAACTGCCTGGAAAATTTTAAATTAAAAAGTACTTCAACACATAGAAACCAAATCCTAGTTTCTCACCTGCTCATTTTCAGTGTTCCAAATTAACCAGCTAAACAGCACCAAGATAAATTTACAAAATATTTAGATCAGTGTATTAAAAAAGGTCTTCCAGAACATAAGTATAAACTAGACATAGGAAACAAACAGCTGACATTTCTCTGACTTTATAAACGTTTTGCAGCCCAAGATAAGCAACCTAATGTTAAGCACAAAACCAAAGAAAATTATTACTACAAATACTTCTGTCATATTAGATAATCTTTACCAATAAGTGCAACACTATTGCAAAAAGCCAACTTCATCTAAGTTCAGTTTTGAAGCAATTCCTGCATCAGAAAGTGCTGGCAGAATTTCTGCCAATAATTGTCCACTCATAATATAGCTAGGAAATAGGAAAGTTTTACCATCACTCATTCTTTGCCAAGGGAACAAACCACAGAAGGATTTATTTTTTTTTTAACTCCCAACAATGTTCCTATAGACACTTGCAAAAAGTGATAGTTGGAAGCAACTGAGTTAGGTTTTGTGTTTTTCCAGGTATCATTTCCTCAGAGTGATAGCTGCAAGCATTTGGAACCTGGCAGTTCAATAAAGAAAATCATACCCATTCTTCTAAAGACACCAACATAGTTCAGAATTTATTTCCAGATGGCAGAGAGTACAAGCCTTTGCTGAAATGTGTGTTAATGCGTTGATTTGTTTCAAATCAGAGGAAAAAAAAATAAAATCATTTAAACACAGTTTCCTTTAAATGTATTTAAGCACATGCTGAGCAAGCTTTTCAAGTTCTTCAGTCCATTCCTTTACAGAGATGTTTTGAAGAATTAAAAAACAGATGTGTGCTCAGGTGTATGAATAAAGTCTTTTTCTTCATTCCACAGGAAAATAATTTGTTAGAGAAATACACTGACAAACTCTGCAACGTTAGAAATTAAAACTGGCTGATGCCACACACTATTTTTAAAGCTTAGAGACTTCTACAGCCTAAAAGCTCCTCAAAACAAAACCTGATGACTGAAAGTACTGTTGTGTTACCAACATACGAATCTAGTTATCACTCTGGGTTAGAAATGTTTCTGTAAATTATTTTAGTAAGATTAAAACACCAAAAATACTTACATTGCATTTACTTTGTCTTCTGGGCCCTGAACTTGGCCCGTTACAGTTCCTTGACTGGTATTTTTAACCCAGCCAACCACTCCTAATTTCCTAGCTTCCTCTTCTGTGTACTGATTTGAAAAATAATGAAAGAGGACAATTAGTGTTGGTGCATACACCCACATATAACACTGAAAAACCTACTTTGATTTTCATAGCTTTAAGACTTACACTTAAATTAAAAAATCCATGGATGATGCACATACTTAGGCATAAAGATATTCCTGCCAGCTCTGAAGATGCAACAGAAGCAGCAAATGTTTGAACACGAATGAGATTTTACACATACATAATAAACACACAAGTTAATTCCCACTTCCACACTTGTAATAATTTTCTTCAAAAAAGCTATACATATGACATTACGCTGCTTGAAGTCACCTTCCTCTTTCCTGTATCATAATGTACATGCACAGAAACCTTCTAATTGTGTGAGGCTTTTTTTCATTCACAGCAGGACAAAAGACTTGCTCCCCTTATTTTAGGAACTTTTAACAGTTTTGATCACAAAGGACTCTATCAATCCCACACACTCCCTCGTATATACTTTGTTGCCTTCTATAACTCCTATCACTGCTTATTTGCCTCTTCAAGAGTCTACATTCATTGAATTTGTTACATGTACCAACTTCACAGATCCTTTTCTCTAGTTTCATTTTAAATAATTTCCACCTGACTTTCACCCTTTAAATTCTACCTCCAGCTGCCGCATTACTACTAACAAACAGCTTTAAAGGTCATAATCTAATTATACTGTTTGTCTCATACTTCTGCAATACCACAACAAATTATGGTTTCCCAGCTATTCACTTCTTGTGATGAAATCAGTAACTTCGAAGCACTCTGTTTTCAGAGGGTTGTTATTGTTTTTTTTTAAGACAAAAACAACTTTCATTTTCTCTCTTTCATGTACATAGGAACTACACACGCGGTTTTAATAACTGAACACTAAAATGGTAGGGAACAGAAAGCCTGTTTTGCAGAAATCCATTAAATTTTTTTCCATGTAGGGAAACAAACAGACTAGTATCCAATACACAGTACTTCATTAGTAGGAAATACGATTATATTAAAGGTACCTCCTCCATTTTGCTGCTTGTATATTTAGTAAAGAGGTGTTAAAAGACTACATGGCCTATGTTTTAATCTGGTATTACAGAACAGCAACAGGCTGATGGCTGTAACAGGAAGATCCAAGAGTTTTCAATACATTTGGATAGGAAATAGCCACCAAACATTTTAGAGTATGAGCAGTAACACCCAAAACTAAATGCAGCAACAGACACTAAACATTGCATTACCAGCCTCTTTAGACACTAATGGCAACGGCCAAACTGCAGATCAACATGACTACATTCCAAAGGTAAAACAAATTCCAATAAAAAGGTGCTGCTAAGTATGAAGAGCATTTTCCAAGACAATTATGAGCAGCTTCTCCACACAAACTTGTCCAAACGCACAGGAATACAGCTGACAACCCATTTCTCAATACTGCTGATTAGCTCAAGACTGGCCCTGTGGCGTGTGTACTCACAAGGCACAAGGTCAGCTCAAAACAAGGCTTCCTGCCCACCACATAACGTGTGGACATACACTTAGCACTTCATAAAATAATGAAACTCAAGACATACTATATTGTAATCCTAAAGCCATGTCAATTTTGCACTATTTCACAATACCTATAAAAAAACGTAAAAAAGCTTTTAGGTCTAATATTAAGCACTGCTTTCAGGTTTTAAAAAAATAAATACAAAATAATAATAAAGTTATTTGAAATGTGCCTTCTTCTTTCTTGGGTTTCTGTGAAATACAGAGCTACCTGCTGCATGTTCAGAGCTGGTGGAGATATTTGGCTGGGATACAAGCCATAGGCTGCATGTTTGTAGCTCACTGTTACACAGAAACACAGTAGGCTTCTTGAATTTTTTTTTAATGGCAGTTCTAGTACCAGTATTTAAACTGAAAAGCATTGCTTCAGACACCAATGCCAAGAACTTCAGATTCAACCTTTCTAAAGGTTAACATGTTACAGTGCTCTTGTAGCTGTTTTATCACAAGTAATCCCAACACGATCTTTAGGCACTAAACATACAAGCAACACATTAGTAAGCTTTTAAAAATCCAGTTTAATATAACAATAATAGAAAACAAATTTATTGGGTTTTTTCCCTTTTAAACACACTTGCAAAACTTTACCATCTAACCTGAAACTCAAAAAAGCAACTGGATATGTTTACCCTCTACAAACCTGCTGCCATATTTTTAGCACTGGAAATACTATACTGTAAAGCAGAACTTAGTAAACCAGAGTGGCTTACCATCCTGAAACAAACACCTAGAAGAGAAAGAAAAGGCATTAAAATAATTTTTAAACAACATCACTTCTGGGAATTAATATTCATATGAAGTAAACTGCACAGAACTCGTCTGTGGTCTTTTCTTACAGCGTAAGTAGTTACAACATTTAGACACGGGGCAAACGCCACAGGATTTGTGTACACCCTGGCCTGGAGCCTCCCCTTTGACAAACGCAGTCACTACATGTAACTTCCCTCATAAAAACACGGCCCTATAGGAAGCTTTTCTGCCAAGGCGGGGGGGTGGGGGGTGTGTGTGCCTTCCCACACAGCCGCGCTGACACAACCCACGGACACAACCGCGGGTACCAGCAGATGCTTTGGCCCACGACCGGCCCGCCC